ACATGCCTTTTTCGTTTGTATTTTTATACACATTTCTGTTAAAAACGGCACCCTCATATTTAATGGCACCGTAATTGAAGATTAAGAGCGAAATTAAAAAGTGTTTTTCTGGTAGCGAGGTTAGTAGTTAGACATTAGTAATTTTATAGAACATTATTATCCAATCGGTTATCGTTTAACGACTGCTTTTTCAACTGAGCTCCAACAATCATCAGAAACTTTAAAACGCGACATTTACACACAGCTAAACTTTAAGTTAGCACAATATGGCAAATTTCCATAATTACCGAGTAAATGAAATTGTCAATTTTGTATAAACTGAAGGTTTTCTATCTACTGGTTTTTATTTTATTTTTTTAGTGCCTACTAATACAACCATAATTATTAACATTATAAAGCGGCACTTTTCAATAATTGGGATTTATTTGGCTAGATGATGAACCATGTATTGCTGAGGAAATGTGAGTATATTAGAATATAAAGAAAATAAATATGTAAAGTTGCCAACCTATAGGTGAAAGAAAATAGTCGAAAGGAAAACGATTATCGATAATATTCAGTAGAGAAGTAAGAAGAGTACAAAATCATAACTTTTTCTTTAGAATTAACAGACCCAATGGGAATAAACCACAATGTCTGAGTGACGCGCCGTTACTTCGAACCGAACTTCGGACAATGGGCTTTTTTCTCAACTTAGTCACAGGAGGCACGAATCCTTGAAGTCGGTCAGGATGGGTGACTCATCATATTGAAGAGGTCACAGTTCAGAGCACACAATTAAGTTATTGTAACGTTTGCCATAGTACGCTTGTGGCACGCTTAGTCACAGCCGACAGCGAACTACAAAACAAGAGAAAATCTAAATCGCCGACGTGTTTTAAATTATTCAAAAATCAACATGAATTTACTATCTTAACATAAACACATACAAAGAGCACTTTATGTTTTTATTTTCGACTTTGGTTCATGTATATGCATGCGGCTTTTTTGTTGTGATTGTCACTTTACTGATTTAAATATACTTTATTTAGTTATATTATTCACGCAAACATTAAAAGAGGCATCCCGTATGGTTCGAGAATAATTAATACAAAATGCTCTACGAAAATTATAGGATATCACCAGCCCCGTGGACGGTTGCTAGTCTGTCATCAAGCTCATCTCAGGTGGTGGATAGGGGAACTGTCTCAAGTTATGGGGGCTACCAGCTTCGGCTGGCGCGAACTAAAACTAGTACAGGGAGGGAACACAACTAACGTTCTGGATATGTTTCGGGTAGTGACAGCCGAATGGGGAAAGCCAAGGCAACCTGCAGAGCGATTCTGTAACAATCCGAACCCGCATTCGAATTCACTTGGAAAGCGAATCTAAAGGGATTCAACTTCGAATTTGTATTAACGTTTCGTGGCATAAGTGAAGTGAGTTTTGAAATGACATAGGGATATAATATCAGAGACAGGTATGAATCGATCAATCTCGTATTGTTTTTTTATATAAAATATGGAATCAACAGAGTTATAATTACAAATAAGCGAATTCGTTTTCGAAGTGAATTCGTTCACCTGAATGAATACGAATTAGGGTTAGCAAATTTTTATGGAATCGCTCTGTTGTCCTGAATACTGTTCCGGTTGATTGTATGCTAGTTACTTTAGTTAGTCTTAACAAAATAAATCTGAAATATCATTAAAATTTCATACCTATTACTCGTAATCAAGAGTTAAAAAAATAGTACATTATCGATTGTTTTAAAAAAAAAAGAAATAAAAAGTAAAAATGCAATGAAGCATAGTGTCGTACATCCTATTGTATTGAGTGTGTCAAAGCAGGCAACCGACCGAGTAATGCGCTCTAACTGGGGCCAGCTACTTGTCGATGAGCTCAATTTCTAATACTGTTTTATTAATTTCCTTTTACAGCAAGTTTAATAAATGGAATTTTGGAAATTTAAATATTTGTAAAAATATTTATTTCGGCTGTTTGTGTGGTTTGCCTGAACATTGATGAAAATACGCTCTGTAGTAACGAAAACGTAACAAATGCTTGAAAAATTGCCAGGGGCAAAATGGATTTTTTTAAGCAATAACAATATTCCGTTACTCCATAATTATAATAGGAAAATATATAATAGCAATAAGTCGAATCATCAATGGGCCTTCATTATTCATTATTGCTATGGATCACATCGAGTTGCTATTAGAGAAGGTATACCTTAGGAAAACAAAATCATCTGATAGTTTGTGGTTCTAAACATTTTATATCTTATGCTGTATGCATACATAATCTTACCTGAACTTGCAGACCTTTAAATAATTCCTATAACAAATAATAATTATAATGTCCCAACTGTCCATACAATTTGAGAAATAAGAGACATACTTTTTATCTTAAGATCATAATTTGAAAAACAAAACGATACGTCAGTTGCGACCTAAATCTCTATTTAACATGAGATTAGCCAGAAGCCATGTTTCCGTATAAAATGAACTGTCCAAATTGTAGGAAGATCCGAATTAAGATGTTAGAGAAATATAATGAATTTCCGGACACACACGTAGAACGCGTATTATTGTCATCAAATCATTATCTGCGGTTCGAATTCGAAGTACACATGATGACATAATTTATTTCACGATATAAAGAGTTTCAAACACCCGTCGAACTTCTTGTTTTGTTTACTCAACGACACGTTCATTTCCTGAGATTATTCCAAAATCATTTTAATTCCCTTTCATAACAATCAAGATACGCAATAAAAAAAAAAGTTATCATGTGAGCATAAGTAACGCTAAAATGTTTTAACATTGTGTGTGTGATTGTGCTATTGTGTGACAACGACCGATAAAATAATAAATAATTGTGGCAACACTATCGCACAACTATGTTTAGATATTGTCCTGTCAATTCTATTTATGTCTTTGATTACATGTTTATAACTACTGAGTAACATTAAAAATAAACTAAAATTAATATTAATAGTAGAGCGTAGATAGTTGTACAATAGAATTGGCATAAATATATTTCATGTCAAGAGAACAGAGTATTAGAAGTAACGTTAGAACAGAGAGAGAACGGCCCTCCGCCAGCTTGAGAAAATTCCATAAATAAATTTCACTCTCTATTTCACTCCATTAGGGATCAAATTTCAAAAAATCTTTTGCTCACTTCAGATCACAGATCATAAAAGGAACTCCTGTACTACAAGATTTATAGATACAGAAGTTTCGGCTGTACCATGACTTAGGTTACATTAGTCAGTCAGATTTGCCTGAATTAGTATTCTATTTTTAATTCAGTAAAGATCATATTTTTTCTTGATTAGATTAGATTTATTATTTCAGTAAGCCTACAAAAATAACACTGTCAATGTAATAGCCATAGATAATAAATACAAATACACACAATGCACTTTTTAAAATAAGAAAACTTAAAGAACAATGGCCAAAATGGACTACGAAAAAAAAGTTCTTGTACCAAGATGGAACTATTACCAAAATGTAGTATAAGTTGAATGTAATTATTATATACCAACAATTTATTTTTAAAAGCTGGGAAAAGAAAGATATTCCTCTCTAAAATATGTCTTTATTTTTTAGAACGCAGTTTAAATTATGTTATTTTTGAACGCATCTTAATAATAATGTCATTCCTAGAGAAGCCCTCTCTTTTCAAATTACAAGATCGATTTTATTTCCGACTAATCTAATTTGATACAAATCTTATATTATTTACTAACCATATAAATCCATGAAAATTATAAAACTTAGATTAGATAACTAATATAATTAGATGTTACCTAGAGAAAAATAGTTGGCATGCAAACGTGGCGTTGAAAGGATGGCTCCTCCGCTCACAAAGTACCAAAAAATTGGCATAGCCCATACTTTAACTGTGGGCGTAAATAATAAAACAAAATGTTGGGTGAAAAATATTTGCTTGGAATGCATGGTAGAGAAATACCGGATTCTCTGGATTTATTAGAATTAGACATAAATATAAATAAAGTCCTAATTATAAGGAGTAGAATTAAGTCGAAACATTGGGAGGAAACAATATTATGTGTACATTTTAATAAATAATTACACATCCGGGTTAGATGGCATAAGAGAAGACTGCTGTTATTGTTTTATTGGTCGATGTATACTGGGATGCTGTGCTCATATAATGACCATAGTTTGGTATCTTGGATGGGCCAGATATGAACAGAATGTAGCTGCTCCTGCAGCATTCCGTGATGAGGTATTCAATAGAGTTGTAATAAAGAAAAGAAAAATCAACATGTTGTTTTGCTATATCCTTTTGACATTAGTATTTTCACTACTACTTTATATAAGTTATAGTGTAAGATGGAAAAATAGAGTTATTGAGAACAATCTTAAAAATTCTATTATTTTTTTGATGCTCATTGGTTCACAAAAAATAATTTTATTTCTTACAGTCAATAAAAATAATATATCAGATATGGAGCAAGTTTGAAGTATTATGTGAAAGTATGCACTTCTAGGACCACGATTAGGCATTATCTGACGTGTGCTTTACATATTTCAACTGTAATACCTCTAACTTAAAATGCTACAGTTTTAATAATACGACATAACCTCAAAAACATATTACACAATTACTCGATACTCCCAGCTTTTAAAAATATATTTAATGTCTTTCTTTGTTCTAGTTGTATAGACAAACAAAATAACATATATTTCGTCAAGTTACGTTTTATTCGATTTTACTAGTCCAAGCATGTCAGGCAGATGGCCATGGTTCTTTGGTTGCACGTATGAAATGAAATATTAGCATATCTCATCGATCCATTTAATGAAAATTATATTATTAAATATAATTAGTAAAAAATTAAACAATTATAATTATTAAACAATTTGTGTAATAAAATAATGATTAATCATAATCATTATAATTAGGCCGCCAAATAATGCAGTGTCGTTCCGTACTGATAACTAGATTTGTAATCGAAATTATGGGATATTAAAAGGAAGTATTTAACCTATGATTATGAACAGCTGATTAGCGTAGCGTCATAAAATATCAGCTGTGTTATCTATTATATCGAACAGTGTGACAACAGTAATGTTCGGAACCAGTTGTGTACCGTAGAATTAAACGGTTATCATCAATACTTACAAAATGTTATTATAATTGAACCAAAATGTTGAAACATATCAAAATGCTGTCACCAACACAAATACTAATGATCGTGTCATTTCTGGTAAGTTTTATTTGTTTGCAACTTTTGAAAATGATAAACTCAGACTTAAAATTATATAGACAGCCTTAACGATTTGAATTTGTTTCTCGATAATTTTATGTATATTTTAAGGACATGAATAATTTTAGGATATAATAACGTGAAACTATTAAAACCGAATTGATGTGAGTAATAGATGACATATAAAAGGAAATAGAATGTGTGTTTTTACGCAAATCCTAAAAATATTCCAGTGTTTTTTTTTAAAAAGAACAGCATCAATTGAACGAAATTACCTCCGGTTGTATAAAAAATGAAAAATATATGGAATATAATTAATAACAAATAAATATTAGACATCATGATATACATTGCTCAGATACCAACTACTTAACTTACTTACAAAAGTAGTCTATAACGGAGTTTTGAAAGAAAGAAGATACCACAACACCTGATAATGTGACATTGTAGAAATTTGTCTTCTATGACACTTTGAAACCATAGTGTGAGGTACGGGCCTCTTGGCTAAATGGCGGTAATTTACTTTCCTTTCTTATGGTAAAACTTTACTCGAGGGACACAGTACAAATAAAATTACTTACTAAAAATAGGGTTACTGATAACATATACACAAGCAGGCATTGGATTAACAGTTGCTTTATTAGACTGTATATGTATGATAAACCAACCATGTATTCCGGGTTCCAGGATATGTTTAGCGTCGGCTTGATAATTCCTCAGCTACACCAACAAGCATTGTTATTAGGCTGTAGTCATGTGCTTATTGGCATCATGGGTGCAGTATATTCAGCTTCTCAGCTCATTTCTGGGCCCATAATCGTAAGTTGTTTAGACAATAATTCAATATTTATATACACTGTTAATGATGAACTTTCCTTTTGAATTTAAGATACCATGCTGAACTAATAATAATCAATAGTCACAAATTAGGAAGTTATCATATTTTATAAATATTATTTAAGTAATTTAATAAAAATGAAATGTAAAGGTATACTAATTGTTTTTTTCTTCAACATAATTAATTGTTTCCTCAAAACTTATTTAGACTTTCATTTAATTATGAAGGTACTATAATCCTATAATGATGTTTTGTTGCTTTCAAGTTGGCTTTGACATTGAAAAAATCTTTAAAATTGTATTTCAATTAAATAAAAGTGAGTTTTATTTCATTTTCAGGGAAATCTAAGCGACTTAAAGGGCAGGAAACCGGCCCTATTGTTCACTTTCACTACATGCGGAGTAGCATATTTGTTATTAGGTATCACAACGTCGGCGTTAATATTCTTTATATTGCGATTCATTCTTGGTAAGTACAGTCAATTATATATGTTCAGAGAATCAATATGCGAACACAACATTTTCCAAACTTTCACCGATATTTATTTGCATTTCCATTGTTTCAAACGATCAAATTTCAGCTATGTAATAATGTCGTTTATTTCGTTTTCTAATTGTTTTCTATTAGTAAAGCATGATATAAGTGATTTGGCTCACCGATGTAACCTGCGCAGAAAGCTTAATTCAAACCACTGCAAATGTGTACCAATCAGAATGATTAAAGTTGCACGCCATTCGGCAAACTACGCACCTGACGCCCCTTTTTCCTTTTCAACGCGCGGAATCCTAAAAATCGAGTAGCTCGGTGGCGTAGTGGATAAGCGCCGCGGCTAACGATCGTTGTCGTAAAGCAACTTTCGCTAGGGTCGGTCACGGTATGGGTGACCAAAAAATTATTATCTCGAGCTACTCCTTGCTTCGGAAGGCACATTAAACCTTTGGTCCCGGCTGCATTTGCAGTCGTTAAAACCCTCCAATCCGCATTGGGCCAGCGTGGAAGGTCATGGCCCATCCTCCTTAACCATCCATAAGGAAGGCCTGAGCCCCTGCAGTGGGGACGTAAAAGGGCTGATGATGATGATGAATCCTAAAAATGACACATTTGTACTCGATGCGAACGTAGACAAAATTAATAAATTTCGGGTCAAGAGTGCTGCTAAATCCGATTTTCAGTGGTTTTCTCTTATAGGTGTCGTCAAACAAACACAATTATTGACAAGATCCATAGCACCTGATTATGTGAAGGAACCTGAACAGCATTCAGGGTTATTTGGCAAAATGTCAACGCTGTCTGGAATTGGAATGTCCGTCGGTCCAATGGTCAGTGGACATTTGGCAGAAGCCTTTCCTGATAATGGATTCACCATAATAGCCTTTGTTGTGGCTGTTATATACACTATTAATACGTGTGAGTAAACCTGTCTGAATTTTAAATTAATTTCCATGGTATATTATGTTCTTGCATATCTGTTCGTATTTTCAAAAATGTTTCAGAAAATAATGCCAGTGTAAATTTTCACAGATAAAGCTATGTTGAACTTAACTAAAACTCGTTGCACAAAGTATAGCAATAATATTTATTTGGCAAAATTTATTAGTAACACTTTAGTTAACAAATAGGTTTTTTCACAACGACTTTACTAAATTATTAATACCATAATATTTAAGTGAGATGGTATAAGAAAATATAATATATTGTACATCATGATCGTTTAGTCTGATCATTATCTGATGTTGGAATATAATCACAAATAAACAGTATCTGCGTTATCTTTCTTTCTATTGAATATGTTGTTATTGATATTATGCTCATAGATAGTAAAGATTTATTTACTTTAGTATTTATTTTGCAGATCTCATAAATATTTTACCTGACAATGAGAAAACCAGCAAACTAAGCGATAATGAGGAAAACAAAAGGGAGGAGTCCAGTGTTGCACCAAAACTAATCGACTCTGTAAAGAGAAGCTTTGGAGAATCCGTCGATGATTTGAAAAAAGTCAATTGGGTTGTATACTGGGACGTTTTCATATACAGGCTCATTATTTCCCTATGTATGGGGATGTACTTTAGTAGTTTCGCAGTATTTTTAAAAACAGAACATAATGTATCGCCGAAATATTTAGGTTACATTATCGCTTTTAAAGGAGCAATCTCTTCTTTTTGTACATACTTCATTGTTCACATTAACAGATTATACAAAACTGATAGTAATGCCACAGAAAGGACTTTCCATGTCTTTTTAGCTATAACTGTGGCTTTCTTGGGAATGGGATTAGCTAGTACGTTGTATGTATATATTTTGTTCATTATACCGTTAGCTGTAGGTGGAGCGGTAGGTAAAGTGACTAATTTAGAGATGATAGTCAAAAAAGGTAATGATGAACATAGAGGTTCTATTATAGGAGCCGCTGGTAGCGTAAGGTCATTGTCAGGTGTGGTCACACCACTTCTTTCGGGAATAATCAGTGAGTACATGGGCGTTCCGTATGTGATAATCTTTGCTGCTATATTTGCTTCTATCGGTGTTGGAATAAGTTACAAGATTAGAACTTCGTTAGTGCCAGATAAACATAAAAACGATTAATTATATCATAAAATTTATTAGATATTTAATATAAGAGTGAAAAAATCTGTGATATGCTTTCAGTTATTGTTGAAATAAAGATTTTTGTGATGAGAACATTTTTTTAATATGCCACAAAGGTGAAAAAATTATTAGTAATTTTTTTTTATGTTATTGGGAGTTTAGTAAAAATAAAGATACATTCAGTTTGACGCTGTTTAAAGCCAATAAATGTTTACCGGTATTACAGCATCGTGTATTGTGAATAAGTTTACGGTTTCAGAATGACGCAAGAACTATTTTGCTAACAATAGTCTTGGAATGTACACGGTAAAGTATAATAGACAAAGAAAACTCGTTTAAACTAGTTGACAAAATTTTGAACGAATGATTATTGTTTTAAAAATCACCATCACTACTTGGGTTCTAAGAGCAGTACACACGCAAACATAAAATGATTCGACGTCATTTTGTATGAATTCCCGGTATTATTCACTGCTACTATGAAAGTTCCAAACATTTAATGATATGCCTCGGTAATAATTGGTCGGTCTGTAACGCGGAGGTTAGGCAACAATCCAACTGCCGGTCATAGGATTGGTGACCAAAAATGTTATTATCTCGAGCTAGTTCGTGTTCCGCAAGCTACGTTAAGTTGTTGATCCCAGCATCTGCATCTGCAGTCGCACCTACAAATCCACCTGTTCTGCTGGGTGGTGGGTTAAAGCCCGTTCTTTCTATATGAATCCATCCATAGGGAAGACCTATTCTCCATCAATGGGGATATTAATAGGCTGGTGATGATGATGATATCATTGCTATGAGTTTAGTAGTTTCTGGATTCGTTTTCTCAACTAAAAGATGTCCTTCATGGGTTATTTATTATCTACCACATTAAAAGATTTAAAAGAGCATTCGATAAGTTCGGTTGAATCAAGAATATAATGCTGTCTAAATTAAATTTTCGAGGTTACTTAAATATCATTAACAAAAAAACTCATATACGTAGGTGAGTACTACATTTGGGCAAAATTATATCTGATACCTATCTATAACAGTAAGAGGTTGATTATAGTGGTCTAATTAAAATGTCTATTAATAAACTAATTACAGAGCAGTGTGCAGGTGTAGGGCCGCGGTTCCCACGCGCCGTTCCTTCCGTGGCGGCGACCCGTGACGCTACCGTCTTAGCGCCTTCTATTGTTCTACTTTGAACCAGACATACACATAACAATTTTCAAAATTATGAACTATGATTAAGTAAATATGTACTGATTTCTTTTATTTTCACTCGCTCTATCCATAAGTGAAACAACTTTTAAACGGTTTCGGTTATTTAGTTTTATTGACGTGCACACGGAAATACATTTATACATATGTACTTTAACGATGTTTCTCATCATTATAATACCATCAGAAATATAAGTTTGTATCAGTTGTATTGAGAAAAACGTCAACTCTTGTTATCTAAATATCTCCAAGGTGCCTTAGAAACTACTTTTGAAATTTTGAGAGCTAAATACCCAACTTGAATTAATTTCCATTGAAGTACTGTGGTCGATAATTGCAGGTCGACTTACCACTACCATACCAGTTGCAAAATTGAAGTTCTTTTATTAATATGACAAGTTTATTATAATAGAAGTGGAAAATAGAAATAGAACTGGTTCCAATCTAATGAATTCAAAATAATGTTTCTGAACGGTTTGCGATTTCCTTAAAAAGATTTCGAAAATTTCTACCTCTTCGATTTTAAAGATATATTATATTGACGCTATATAGTATAATATGCAATTTCGTGCTAAAATATTGTACCTTCTTTATATAGAACCCTAAAAATCCGAATTATTATAAAAAGAGTCACATTACTGAAATCTATTAATATGAAGTTAGATGCAAAATAACTACACATATAATTATTATTAAACGTAAATCCAGCTGAGTATAGTGTTGTGACCAGATCGGGAACCTCTTTATTTGCATAACAGCCAAGTTCAGCCGACCGGCACGCCTTTAGTTTCGTACAATTATGTTGTTAGATAAAACGGAACGTATTTGTGAAAAGAAGGTAAGTGAAGCAATTATTATTACTTAACAAATTAACCGAAAAATGAAACGTGGTTAAGTTAATAATAAGTTGAAATAACTGCTAACATGCCCCTCACTTTTATCAACAAAATACTAACGTAAATGACCGTGAAAGTTTTAACAACATATAAAAATAAATATAACCAATAAATATTGTCCGAATAATTTAAGAATTCTGAAAAGCCCAGAAAACTAGTTTAATGTTTTCCGAAAAAAGAATAAAATCGTCTTAATGATAAATGCTAAACATTTTTATATAATTAGAAGAGAAAAATAGTTTTAAATAACACTGGATTAATGCAGTATAAATATATATTGCACTATTGAAAAGATTTTTAAATACTACCCAGTAATTATCGTTTTAAATACTACCCATTATCTATCGTATAATCCTACTCCCTGTTAGTTCATTATTTCTGCCAACTATTTTTAATTGCTAAAACTTTTTGCACAATTAACTGACAATCACAGCTGTGCACCTGCAATCCCGGCTATGTATGTTCATAAATTCGATTCAATGAACAGTTTAACGTACCACCAGAATACTGTGGCATCCATTCCATATTGATTATATTGGATGTTCTGAAAAAATTGCGGATACCCGACCGGGACTGGGCTGGACAACGACGTAGTAAACTTTTAACAACAGTAGTGTATAATATCATAGTATACCTATAATATAGTCAAACATTTATTTTTACCAGAAAATGACCCAAAACTCATTTTTAATTTAAAAGAAATTTAAGAAACATTTGTTTAATTGGTAGTTAACGTATAGTTTAAACTTTGTGCATTTATGGAATTTGTTGACCGACACACACTCCTCTTTTTTGGTAACGTGGGGAAATGTACCTTAAGCCTTAAACCAGGGCTCTCCTACCACGAACGCGTCCTAAAAAGGACAGACTTAAGCGAGGCCAGTCTACCTAGTAAAATCCGCTGCGAGTTCCCTTCCTAGGGCTGCAAGCACTCGGGATACAGCAAGGAACCGGCGGGTCCAGCCCCACTACATACTCCTACTCCTTCCTCACCCTTTTTATAAAATTTTATAATTATTTTAATCGACTTTCATAAGGTCCAGACCGATTCTGTTAAATATGCGTTTGATAATAACGTAGAACTTGAAATTTTAAAGAAATCTTAACGATATAATACTGAGTGGTGTGTTCATTGTGAATACATTTCGACGCGCGCCGGAATGTCCACTGCTAAAGAACAAAGAAATCTCGGCCGTGCTATAGCATACTGGAAGTTAATTACATATCCAAAGGTAAACAAAAAGCTATGTTAACTTAAACAAACAACGTTTATCGACTATTTAAAGTAGTGATTGATCCGGACTTCACAGACCATTCACAATAAAATAGCTCTAATTATTTACTAACGAATCACATCTAGACACATGTTAAATTTCAAAAGGCAGCCGCTTGTCAGTATCAGAAAAATACAAACAGGAAAATACCTATACATTTTTCTTTTAAAATTCATTAACCGTAACCGCAAGGGTCGGTTATTCCCTCCAATCCGCATTGAGCCAGCGTGGAGGGTCATGCCCATCCTCCTTAGCTATCCATCAGGAAGGCCTGAGCCCCTGAGGTAGGGACGTAAAAGGGCTGATGATGACGAGTTTTTGTTTGCGAGTAATTAATGGAAATTAATTTTTAACACTCTGTTTTGAGAAAGACGTAAGTCATCTCTTTTTGTATTCGAATGAAATGACATCGCATACCTACTAGTCAATTATTATGAGTCTTTAAGCAAACTTTCCAGCTAACACTCACAGATCATACCTTATCGGGAAACGTTCCTCTTGATCCCCACTACAATGTTAATGATGACATTTCATGACGCTGTCAACAGTGTACGCACTCTAAAAATATTGGCCATATTACAACGACAGATGTTCATAGAACAGGTGTTTTATTTTCTATACTCTTTTCTGCTTTTTATTTGAATTTAAAAGTATTCATATAACTCCTAGCAAATTAATTTTCTTGTAAAGAAACTCAGTATTATTTTTTAACATACAGAGTTTAAAATAACAACATCAGTCACAGCTGGACATTTTTTCAGTAGTCTATATATGGATAGAGATCATCTCGACAAACTTTGGTTATAGATAACACATACTTAACAAAGTGATATCAATAAACCATAATATTACCTTTTTAAAATAAAACTCAGCTTACGTTTCTGGTCCTCCATCTTAAAACGTAATTGTAGGTTACAAAGATTTATTTCTACAAAAAGTTTTTTTTATTATTATTTTTTTTATTGTTAGACAGATTAGGACATATTTTATATTAAATATGTTGAAGTTAATAATAGTTTTTTATTGTAATTTCCCAAGGGGATTCTCACATAGACCATTATAATATTGTTTGCTATGTTAAACGTGTGTTAATGCCACTACATACTTAATGTGGCACACACAAGCAATGCTGAAGCTACTGTGTCACGAACTTTATAGCTAACAGTGTGTTACTACACGTGATTCAAATCTAAAGCACATTTTAACATCCAGAATAATGCAGTACCAGAATATATTCAATGTACCATAAAAACGTAGCGATGAACTAATTTATATTTTTAAAACAATATCAAAAGCGATTTTGAATTTCCCAGCCAACACAGATTAGCTGAATAAATTTTGCTTAAAAGCAATTCTTTTGACTTTAAGCTGGATAAAGTATTTGTATAACTTCTGTGTAAGCGCTTATACAGATGATATTCAAGCAATTTGGGCACAAAATATCTTGCTTCAACTTGGATAACATTTGATTAATAGCTACATAGCAGCTGAATAAATGTACAACACACTGAATATCTTCTGCATAAATTCTGTTTTTTCTTTAGTCCAGAAATTATACATCTCTTATGCAGTTGTTAATTTGTGAGTTCAGATATTCAAATGATATTCACAATTCCGATCTCAGGGGAAGTTTTACAAAGAAATTATGCAAGTAATTTGGGCACAAAATGTCTTGCTTCAACTTGGATAACATTTGATTAATAGCTACA